TTGACTGAAGCGACAGCCAGTTTCAGCCAGGGAGGTTTTATTATATACCTCATTTTGCTAAGCAGAAACCACCAGAAAGCTGTGAGCAACTCAGATATAACAGGTGGCTGTAGAAACATGCCTGGGACTGAGAATGGAGAGAAGGGTAGGTCAAGGTCACTAGACAGCTAGAGCAATGTGTACAACAATCAAAATAACCAGCAGGAAAAGGCAGACACTTCTTTAGACATGAGTTGTTTCTTGAGCATTGATTGCATGTAAAAAAGAGCTGAAGAGTTAGCAGGTCCCCCAGAACCCCATTTTTCACTCTTTCGTGAAATACTTCAGAAATATTTAGAAAGGCAACCTGATGAAATGCATTGCGGGTGATTGAGCCAGCAGGTTTACTCGCAAGTTTCATTAGTGAATGCCTCCCAATATTTAGCAACTGCAGCGTCTTTGAAGGAGGAAAGGACCAGCTTGCCTAAAAATCAAATCCTTCCTAAGAGTCAGCTGGCAGAAATAGAAGGTCAAACACTTGATCTGGTATTACAGAAAAGTAGCCACAAACCAACCTTCAGCTAGAACTAATACATGTAGAACAGGTTATGACCTCAATTAGTTTCTCCATTTCTGCACCAATGGGAGACCGTGAATAGCATTTACTTTCTTCATGACTGAGTGGAGGCTAGAGACGATGCTAACAAATTTAATAACCAATATCTGGGCGATTCCAGTCACGACATCCCAAGGAAGACACAACAGAGCTGGAAAAGATCCAGGGAAAAACAACTAAGATGATCAAGGGGACTGCTTATCTTTCATTCAAGGACAGACTAAAAACCTAAAACACATTAGAATTTCTCAGACTGGGAAGATGAAAATTAAAAGGAGTTAGTGAGGGGATGTGAGATTAAAGTAGACTCTGGTAAATATAATTGTATTCAGTGAAGTTCATAGCACTTAATTGGGGCTGTCCCTTGAGGTTAAAGGATGTAGATTAAAGAGAAACTGAAATATATCTTTATTTGTTTATAGAGAAATCAGTAAGTTTATAGAACTTATTATTGCTAAGACAAGACTGAAGTGGAGAATGGGGAAAGTTTAAGAAACCATTGGATATACTCAATGCCAATGGATTTAACAGTGCATTACTAAGAAATGGTCATGATGCATCCTAATTTGTTTGAAATGCAAATTACTATTCCTGTCTTACCCGATAGATAGGGAGGGTGAGAGGGAGGGAGACCCAAGAGGGAAGAGATATGGGAACATATGTATATGTATAACTGATTCACTTTGTTAAGAAGCAGAAACTAACACACCATTGTAAAGCAATTATACTCCAATAAAGATGTAAAAAAAAAAAAAGAAAAAAGAAAATTACTAGGTTGACTGACAACACAGCCATTGGTGCCTACATCTGGGACAGAGTTCTGGGCTAGCTGCCCTGTTGGTCTGACCCAGGGTGCTATTTCTTATGCTTTTATTATGTCATCTATGCAAAAAACATACTGCATGCAAGTTTGGGATTCCTATATTCTTCTGACAGTCCAGAACACAGAAGAATGATTTTCTAACTCATTAAGAAAGCAAGAGAGCCCCAGCTCTTGGCTCCGCTTGGTTTACCCATACGGGAGTGTGCGACATAAAAAGGTGCAAGAAATTCTAACAGAATGCAGCAGGTGGTTAAAGGCTATTATACTGAAAATCTCATGAGTTTGACAATAGGCCAAAAGACTACAAAATGGCAGAGAATGGAAAAGGCAGTCGTAACAGGTTGAACATTGCTGGTGATTATTTTTTCAGTGGCAATGAGAGCTGTAATCAAATAACCTGAAAGAGATGCTGGCAGGGGTAGGAAAGCCCCAAGGGAGAGGGAATATGAAGACTGTAACAATGATGTATGCTATGGACTAATAAACTAGACAAACATGTAGTTTGAAGTTTCTTAGCATCATATGAAAAGCTGGTGTCACGACGCAGGCATAAACACTATCTGACTTGCAATCTAGAGCAGAAGACGTTGTTAATGACTTACAACCTCAAGGATGAATGCACGACTCAACAACTAACTGGAACTGTGCTATTGGTGTAGAAACCTCTTGTTATTTAGATGATCAGTTTATCTAAGCATTAAAAAGGAAACATTATAAAGCATTAAAAAATATCCAGAGAAAACACTTGCCTTTGCAGCTGGAAATGTGTGGTTAAAAACTTGAATGCAAGTCAGGACAAATAAGAAAGAGGACGAATGGGGAGTGGTTGAAATAACGTCATTATCAACTTACTATTATTGTTATTTGAGGACCAATAAGGCATCTCAAATTACGAACGGCATCTGCAAGTGCATGAAGTCCACTGGACCTTGTACATCAAAGTCATTTAGTGTAAACAGAATATTTTAGACAACAGTAATGTGTACTAATAAATCACAAAGGACATTAATAATCTGTTTACTGAAAATGTAAATTTCTTGAACATGCGTTCTCCCTATATTATGACTTAACATTTTAGGGGTATATTTGAGAAACTGTACAATCTCTAATTTCAATTAGATTATAATCGTACAGAGAACTGATCTCAGTAAAGTTTCAAGGACATCTTTGAGAAATTAGGTAATCCCTCATTCCAAGGAACTGATCACTTCAGAGGCTTTTAAGGTCTCCATACTCACCTTTCTACTAATCTTCCTGTCTACTGTTCTCTGTTTCTTACCATTAAGCTAGGAAGAATAATAGTCCTAAATTAAACACCAAGATTTAAGCTCTTTAAAGGGGTATCTGGAGAAACTGGAATGGGTTGAGAGGGCATATCTGAAGCTAATTCACAGCGGAAAAATAGAATTCCTATGTTTTTTTTTTTTTTTAAACTGAGAATTTATATTGTGTTTAATAATGAAAATAAAGAATTTTTAAAATAAAGATAAACTTCTTGAAAAAGAAAGCTGATATCTTAAAGTTTTTGAATTTGGACCACACCATGGAATGAGCCACACTCATCGATTCCTACAGCTACAAAGGAACTTAGATATCATCCAGTCCAACTCCTTATTCTGTAAATAAGAAACCACGGTTTGTACAGCTTAAGTGACTTGCCCAAGGCCATACAATCAACTAATCACAGAGCCCCCGAAGTCAAGGTTTCTTATTCCCAGATCTGCGCCCCTACCAAAACCGTCACCATGATCTTCAAGCTGGCTGGTCAAAGAGCACTGGACAAATAGGAGGACAAAGAGAGAGTAGCTGTTCTCTGATCCCATCAAGGAGCAGTAAGAAACTAGTATACAGGGAGGGATTACAGCTTTTCTGGAATTTGTCTTTTTACTTTTTGGACCAAATTCATTTTCACTGCTTCACAGAACTGTACTGGGATCTTTTGTAGTAGGTGTAACCTCAGGGAGAAGGTACATATTTAGGCAAAGGACAGTGGCACTAGGGGGGCACTCTAGGAATCCCGTGTGAGACACTTAATGAGCCCTAAACGGGATTATAATAATTTGGACAATGATGGCTTAAAGATGTCTTGGATTCTCAGGTGATCCTAAAATCCTGGCTACAAAAGGAGTCATTCTTTTAGCTCACAAAGGAATTGGATACAGTGAGAGTTTTATAAATGGGTTGAAAAAGTAGCAGGTCTCAAACATCTTAGTCAGAAATGGAAATCTGTAATGATGAAGACACTGATATAGAAGATGACTGGGAAGAACTTGAACAAAATGGTTCCACGAAACAGATAGCGGATGTAAAGCAACATAGCGCATGTCCAAATCAATGTATTATTTAAGAAAATGGGTGATTTTAAATAGGTATTAAAACATGTACTTTAGAGTGACTAAATAACTACATACAACAAAAATAATAAAATAAAATTAAAAATAAGAAAACTAAAGAGCAGGATCAAAACACCGAAGGAGAATTTTTAAAGTTAAGAGATACCTTGTCTGTGTAATTTAATAAGACAACCTTTCCTAAAGGGTGTATCTCTCCTTGAAGAGCCGAACAAGTTCCCTCACCCCCATTCTTCGGGGTTAACAAAATTGAGGCATGAAATCAAATTTCTTGAGAACTGAGGTAATGAAGATCTAGGAATGCAGTTATTGCTTTAGAACTGAATTATGAAGAATTGATGGGCAGTGGAAGACTAAAAACAGACTTGATAAATGGAAAAACACTTAATATTTTTAGTCAGACTATGGCAGAAGCAAGTTCAAAGACTTAAGTTGGTACTGAAGACTATTTCATGAATCCAATTAATTTAAATTGTTGTTGAGGTGGCTGATAGAAACTTAAATTTAAGCTGGACTCAACTGTACAACTGATGAGAAACTGTTAAGGTATCATAGTAACTCAGCATCCTCTCTCCTCTTTCTTCCATGGCGACCCAATGTATCATAACTTGTATTTCATGCAGCATCTTGCAGAAGGTGCTTCTAAGAACCTATACTCCTTTGACTGACAAAAATGACCCCTGAAAACAGAATCATTTCTGTTGTTGCTACGTGAAAAATGCTGAGTGCTACGTGTCAAGAATGAACACCTCAGCTCCACAAATCCAGAACTGCTACTGACTGCCTTTTGGGTACATCAAGTATTTATTCACCTAGAACAGTTTGGGTACAGATAGCTGCAGACATCTTCCATCTGTGTCTAAAGAAGAAGTGTGGGAAAACTCCTAAACAAATAAAATTGGTCTTGAAAATATTCATTGCCACTATCCATAATATTACCAGCAGCTTTTCGTTCTATTATGAAAAATCCGCACCACCTCCAATCAGAAAACACAGCGTATACGCTGCCTTAAATGGATTTTTCCTAAAAAAATACAGGCGACTCCCTGTAGCATCAGCAAGTTTTCAGTGGTAATTTTAGCATGAGTTACCTACCCAAGCTTCCTCGGGGAAGAAAGAACTAGGTATTGTAGGCCAGGCTAACGTCGAGTTTTAAAAATAAATTCATCTGTGAATATACATATTAGCCACAATAAATGCTTTTTTTAAGAACATGATGCTTTCAACTTACTTGATATAGTAGGGCACTTTGTTTGGTGAGATGGCTCGCTCCCAGGGACCCTGGACAGAAGCTGAAAAAAGGGGGGGGGGGAAAGGCAAGAGGTCAAGTTCATGCAAACAAGAAAGACAACATTAATCTCCAGAATTACAATTTTACACTGATATTGGTCTGTTTGTTCAGTTGCCCATGAAGACAGGACTGATTAACCTGCTGTTCTGATCCTAATCTAAGTAAAACTGAACTCATTCAGGCACAAAGATAAATGCAAAGAAAAAAAAAATTCCACTGCTAAACCTATAGAGCAGGTAAGAAACTGAAAGAGTAAACTGATGGGTTTTCTCTTATGTGTCTCCATTGGGTACTTTTCTTATAATACTTCCTGTTGCTGTTTCTCAACATCTTTTACTATTTGATTGACTGGGTTCTATTAGTTTAGCAGCTGAAACATCCCTCTGGGATATATTTACATTCTAAGTTACTGAAGCTAAAGTACTCCGCTTATCACTCTGATATGCTTGCTCTTCTCTTTATTTGGTTTAAACAGAATCCAGTTTCATTTACCGATTACATGTTTAACTGGTGCCTCAAAAAAGTCAGCTGACCAGCATGATCTTGTTAGAAAAGATAACCGAAAGTGAGAGAATGGCACCCGATACCAGAGTGTAATAAAACTTTGGTGATGAGTGATGAATCCTATAGGTGAAATTAAATTTCCCATACTGGGAATTTGTTTTATAACAACTTTATTGTGTATCAGTCAAATCAGTCAACTTTAAACTGTGTTTTAAATGCTTAAGCTGTAGGGGTTTTTTTTCTTTCCCAGAGTTGAAATACTTTTTATATACGGTTTAATATGATGGCGCTTTTTTGTTTCTTTAAGACAAAATAATCATGTTAGTAGACGCTATACCATTTCCTTAACAATAACATCTTCCTCCTGAACAGAGTTTTAAGAAACTGGAGCTTTTGAGACACAGAATAGCATCAAGAATATAAATATAAGAAGCATTTTTATTAACACCTACAATTTTATGTGTATGTCCCATCTTTCCTGAATTTTCATCCTGCTTATAATTTGAAACACAGCTGATGCTGACCATTGTTTCCTCCTATGAAAAGCTCCCTTCTGAATTAGTCTCACAGTAAATTCACTCCAGTGTATTGAGATGTAAGAAAACATCAAAGCTAATATATCCTTGGCTACACTGCATAATATGAAGGAAAAGCTTCTAATAAAACTTTGCCCACTGCCAGACAATTTAAGGGTAATGAAACTATGGATTCTTTGTTTTACAGAGAGTAACAGAGGGATCGAATCACCCCACCTTCAACCAGACATGCTGCTTTGTACCTTGGCGCTATGCCATTTAAAAAGATATAGAACGTGAATTTGTATTTAGCTACCTAATTGCACCTTTCCATTTTGGCAGATGGATTTTTAATACGGAGAAAAAAGACATTTATCTGCTGTTTCGGAGGAGTCCCTTGCCTTCAAACTCTCTCTGTCCTTCTTTTGCTACTCTTGTCTCCTTTGCCTTTGTCATTCTCTGCCCAGCTCTCCTCTTGTCTGTTTTTCTTCTCTGGGACACAGCTCTCTAGAGCAGATGAGTTCACAGAGTAATAAGAGCTGATTTGAGGACTTAGGCTGAACTCTCTGAACTGCCCGGCAGAGCCTGATGTTATGGAAACCTAAAAACCCAAGCCCTCTGTAGCATGAAACATGGTGGAGAGCCAGAAATCATAGCTCCTGGTTGCTCAGCGGGCCCGCTTCCTAAAATCACGGCATCACAGAAGGAAGAAGAGAACCACAGAGAGCGTTTGGTCCAGCTCTCACTGGCTGTACTGCCAAGTCTAGGAATGTCTAAACTGAGAAAGAATGCTTATCCTTTTCTTAAAGGTCACTATGGGCTGAGCCCCACAATCTCCCTCATTATCCTTTTCCAGTTCTTCATCATTCTCATGGTCCAGAAAGCCTTTCTGATTTGGAGGATGTTGAGTTACGTCCCCTGGTAGCAGAAGAGTCTGTTGGTGTTTCCTATCTTACTCCTAGGCACCTCTCAGAGAGAAGTGGTCTCCTGGCTGCCTGGTTGGCCCGGGGCGGGGGGGCTCTGCCTGAGTGAAACAACCTTCAAGCAGAAAATCTAGCAAGAAATAGGAGAAAAGTGATGATGCCGCGCTGAGCTCATGGCCAGACCTGTAGGTATCTATACTTGACTTTGCATTGTTAAACATTAAAAGGAAATAAAAATTCCCCCTGAAATGCCAGAGAAGTAGTCAGAAAATGCTTGAACTAAAGAGCTGAATGGATTTAATTTTAAAAATTCCAAAAAATAAGTTCCAGGTCAATATGAAATTTTAAGCTTTTGTAACTGGAGTTCTTGTTAATTTTTATAGAGTATATAAATTGTATATGAAAATTGTTCATTTTTTACCTTCTAAAATAAAAGCCTTCTGCCTTTACGTGTAGCTACTAAACAGATCCGATAGTGAGATTCAGTGAATGTTTTGTGCTGAAAGATGTTTTTCCCCCTCTGATTCACAGTTTATAAATGCACCTAAGCAACTGCTTTGCAGCCATCATTTGAAGGTCTGAAATTTTACACTAAAGAATGTCCCTGAAGCAATAAAAAAAGGAAAATAACCACAGCCTTCCCCCAATCCTCCCCTGCCCCATCACTACCACAGACACACACACTGGAGCTACGTGCTTTAGAAATGACACACAATCGGATGACGGTTCTATGCGACTGGAATCAATGCTCCTTCTCAGGAGATTGTCAAACGGTTGTTGGGCAATTTCGCTTGGGGCTGCCAGATGATTCTGGTCTTGCATATATTCAAAAGTTGATCCAATATATGGTAACTCTCATAAGTGTGTCCCAGAATTATCATTTCATTTCCGGCAGGAATG